GGGGCAGCCATGTGGGGGGGGGCTGAGATAGTAGAGGGGGGCCAAGGGGGCTTGTGCAGGGTCCCCCCATGCAATGGGGGGCAGCGGGGATCACCCCCCGCCTGGCAGCACCCAGTGAGTCCAGGGTTTTTTTTTTCCAAGTGTTGGGAGCTGGGGCAGGTGGGGCAGCCATTGCCAGGCTAGAAGAGGGGCTGGGGATGGGCCTGGGTGATTCGGAGATTCAGCCAAATTGATTCAGGACAGTGATTCAGATCATTGAATCGAATCACTGTCCCCCCAATCAGAAGCGAATACTAGCCGCTTCGCACAGGCCTAGTACCCAGGCTCATGAACCAAGACGTCACTATGCTGGACAGATATCCTTGGTTGTCATGGCTGATTGATTTTTTTCAACCAGTGTCACAGAACCAACAAGAGATGATGCTATTTTAAACTTAATTTTAGTAGACAGTGAGGATCTTACAGAAGAGATGGTTATTGGATAACAGACTTGTAAATTATTATATGATTACAATAATCATGTGGGCAATTCACACCAGCCAAGATGTAAGGATCTGTTTACCTGTAAGGATTGGAATGGATTTGTTTCCTCTCAATGCATAGATAGGTGGGGGGTTTTTAGTGTGCTCTGAACCCATCTCTAGGGTTAAGCTGGTCATCACAAGTTCAGGGCTAAGCTGGCCATCACATTTGGGACCAGGAAGGAATTCCTCCCTCAAATTGGATGGGCAAGGACCATTGAGGTTTTTTTTCCTTCTCAGTCTCTCATGGTTCACTTCCTGGGGCTAGCTGGGCATATTTTACTTAAGAAAATCCCTAGCATCATAGGGTCCTGATGTCTCTTGGTCTCTTCTGTTCCTTTCATGTAGTGTACTATTTTTTATCTTTTGTACTAACTATCTTAAGTTTGTTGTAGGCTGTTAAGGGCGTGTTGTGGCTTGTGTTGTGTGGGTGGGAGGCTGTCCCTGTGGATTCATGGAGTTTATAGCCTTTTACGTAGTAGCCTTTAATTGCAGGGAACTGATCTTGATGACCCAGATGGCTTCCTCCAGACTTGTTTCTAAGGATTTTATAATCTAAGTAATTATGGCTTGTGGGCCTGATCCTCAACACTTGTTAGTGGAGATAGGATTATGCCCTTGCTTGGAACAATATTGTCTCCATGTAATTTCTTTCCTAGTTATTCTTTATTCATGTTGTCTCAATATGCAGTGTGCGCTGAAAGACTATATTACGCACCAGGAAACCATCAGTATGCACATCTGCTTCCCCTGGCTGGTCTTTTCACTTCATGATGATAGTAATTTGGTCAAATAAATGCTCAGCTACTGATGCACTGGAATGGTGGCATTCCAAATGAAAAGAACAGGTGTTGTCTTAAAAATAATATTTTTCCCCTTTGCTCTGTATACAACCAGATAGTTTAACAGGGAAAATGTTCTTGCAGTGGCCTCTACTTTTTGTGCTCCCTGTTTAACATTTTACACGTGGAAAATCTCTTGGGAGAGTCCATACTTTCCAAAATTGCATTGGCTTCTTAGAAGTGTCAGCTGACTTTTTGTCATGGAGTGTGTTGGGGCTGTTGCAGGTCCATGTTGGGCCCATGAGGAGCACAAGTGTGGGCTGGCTAAAGCTGAAAAGTGCAGACCCAAGGGACCATCCTATCATTGAACCTAACTACTTGTCAACAGGTAAGTGCACGATTCCTTTATTGAGCTGGTTTTATTCGGTTCTTTTCCTTATTCTTCCCATGCTCCAGGGAGAAGTAATCTGTTGCTTGCTTGTGGCAAAAGTTAATCCCTGCTCTGCACTGTGCTAGCTGCCTGTTGCTTACAGTAAGTAATAATTCTGTGTATACAATGGTAGTACCATCTACCAGAGTCCCATCAGACTAGGCACTGTATCAGCACAAGGCAAAAAGATGGTTCCTTTCCCACAAAAAATTAGTCAAATTGAGTCATAATTCTTGCTTGTTCCCTGCAAGTTCTTCCATCTGTATGGGAGGGTGAGTAGTAGCCACCATGAACATTGCTTGCCACCCCAAGCTGAGACTGAGGAGCATCCAGGTAGCCTGTGCAGAGAAATAAGGAGGAGAGGGGGTTTTTTTCTCACTGCTCCCCTGCTTAGGTGCACAGGACAGGTGACAACATAGTCCATACTGAGGATACATACCTGAGTCTGAGAAAAAAGGTTGTTTGCTCTTTTCTTAACAAGACTGAACCCTTATATTGTGCATGGATTTTTCCTTTTCTCAGCTTGGCGTTCTGCCTTGTACTAACATGTACTAATATGACACGATTTGGGTTTTATGTGCAGGGAAGTGTTGCAACATGTTTCTGTATTTACAGTCATTTTGATTTCTCTCTATGCAGAAACAGATGCCTGGGAATTTCGTCAGTGTGTCAAGTTGTCCAGAGAGATTTTTGCACAAAAAGCTTTTGAAAAATTTCGTGGCCCTGAAATTCAGCCAGGTAGCAACATACAGTCTGATGAAGAAATAGACACTTTCATAAGGCAGAAGGCTGATAGTGCGTATCATCCTTCTTGCACATGTAAAATGGGGCAGCCTTCTGATACTTGTGCTGTAGTTGATCCCCAAACTAAAGTAATTGGGATTGAAAACTTGAGAGTTGTAGATGCCTCCATAATGCCTAGTATTATCAGTGGGAATTTGAATGCGCCAACCATCATGATTGCAGAGAAGGCTGCTGATATAATTAAAGGGCTCCCTTCACTTCATGAGAAAGATATTCCTGTATATAAACATCACAATTTGGAAACTCAGTGCTAAACAATATGCCCACCATTTATTTTCTGTGTGTTTTTTTACTCATACATGGGAATTTTGCCTTAGGCTTCTCCAACAGAATAAATTTGCTATTGCAAAAAAAGAAAAAAAAAATACAGAGGGTATTAATTCACTAACTTTCTGACTAGTTTTGAATACATATTTTTTAAATCAATATGTGCACGGAAACTATTCATTTGTTTAAAATTTGTGTAAATGATCTGCTTTTAATGACAGTTATTCTGACAAGGGGCAATTCTACCATTTGAAACAGCCAGTCATGGGGGAACAGCTAGATTTTCAGTACCTTTGTGGCTTGGCATGGCATGGAAAGGGGGGATATCAACCATTTTGCAGAGGGCAGTAAAATGCCCAGAATTGCTTTTGTTCCTTGACAATTTAGAGACCAAGGAAGTTGAGGAAGGAAGGTTCAGTCAGGCCATAAGCCTAGCATGTGAAGTAAGTGTTGTCTGTTTATTGGAGTAAGGTACATGAGCACGAAGCAAGGAGAGTAGTACCCCATACCAACAAATTTCACCATAGCTGTCAGTGTCAGTGCCATTTATTTTATCTCATGTAATCTTTTGTAGTAATGTGGGTAGAGTTGTATAGGGTACTGATCACTGTTTCAACATGAAGGTGGAATTGTACTAAATGGGGGCATAAGTATTAACATAATGGTATAATTAAAAAGAAAAAGAGGACATATATATTTGACAAATATGGCTGACTTCAGAGCCTCTATAATAAATGTAAAAATGGAGTTGATAATTTAAAAATATATACAAGGGCAACTTTTAGAAACATTCTATTTTTTGGAATTATCTTAATAGCAATCAATTCACAATTTAACCTTTTTTGGCTTGTGTTCCTATATATTGAATAAAGTCATAGAAGGGCATGGATTTTAGCTTTAGGTGGCAAAGAGACTTCCAAAGTCTTGGGTTCCAAAGAATTGGTTTATTAAATAAAGTTCCCAGTTAATTTAGAGAGAGACCTCTTCCCAGATCAACTGTATATTCATTCGCTCAGTTAATTTGAAGATTTCTGGCTCATTTACTTTTATGAAAGAATAAAGGTATCTTGGCTCTTGGGTTTTGTTCTAACTTGTTCTGATTCCCCCACCCCGAGAATTTTTTTTTTTTTAAACAGAAACCTGTCAAGGAAACTTTCTTGAGCCACTGCCTAGTGATGTGTGATAAACTAAAATAGTCAAATCAAGATCAAACCAGTGGAAATCACAGTCGCTTTTGCCCCTCACGAGTAGTAGCTGAGAAAGGAAGTCAGGCTATAATTTATACTTAGGAGCTGATCCTGAAGTCTTTACTGAGGAAAAATTCCCACACATCTGACAGGAAGTGTTGCTTTAGAAAATGGGTGCAGTCTCAGTTCCATAGTTGTGCATTAGGGCTAGGTACCGACATTCAAAAAGCCCGCGGTAGACTCGATCTAAGTTAAGCAGTGTTCTGTACATGGCATAGTTTAGATCAGTAGCAAACAGAACACACATTCGCCCTTTGTATGGGGAAGGTACAAATCTAAGACCAGGTTCTGACTTTTTTAAACCAGTCTGGGTGCTGAACTTCTCTGTTATGGGTTTAGGCCAGGTTTGCATGCCAAACGAGTATGGACCAGTTTCCGATAATTTATACTGGTAAAAGTGTAATGTCTGTACCTGGTCTAGGAAGTTGTGGAGTCCCATCACTGGAGATTTTAAGACTATATTAGATGAATATCTGTCAACAATAATCTAGGTATAATGTATCCTGCCTCATGCAGGGGGGCTAAGATAGTCTATCTCCTGGGGTCACTTTTAGCTGTATGTATCAATGATTCAGTACATTTTAAAAAGTTATTTGAATCCCATTTTATATTTCCCAATACTTTGCTTGATGTTTATGATAAAGAAAAATGTGCATCATCTTTTGCATAATCCATCCTTATTACCATTACAATCCTTGGAATATTTTTCATATGAGTGCTTTAATTTGCATAATCAGACTAAAATGTGAAGCATTCAGAGTTAATTTTGGTTATTAAAACAGGATATATCTATCTATATCCCCCTGTGTGCACAAGAGGAATGTATGTGCGTGTAGATCCACACACACACATCCGTAACAGCAAAGTAGTCTGTTGAAATATTACATATAAGTATATACATGTAAATTCTGTTGTAATGTATATAAAACACCTAAGATAAAGACTCCTGTACTGTTATAAAAAAAATGAAGAACTGAGCTGTAGAGATATTTGGATTTATTCTGTGAATTAAAGGAAATCTTACAAATGCAAGTAGAGTCAAATTTTAAAGCAAAGGCTCCTGTGGTTTAGACATCACAAAAGATAGCGTTAGCATAAGCCAGAGACTGCTATCAGCCTGTGAAGGAAAAACATGCCTATTACATGCAGTAAGAGAACATTCTAATAGTAGTTCAGCAGATAGCAGACAGTAGAAATATATGAAAGGACAGTTAATGCAGATCTTGGGAGCTGCAAGTAAATAACTTCCTAACAGCCTGCTTAGGAGTTCCAGTGAAAAGAGGGATAAGTTTATTCCAGAAAAATGGAATTTTAAACCATTTGATTAGGTTATAAAACCTGCTGACTCAAAAGTTGGCTAGAGGGACAACTGCAGATGTTTTAGACAGATATTCATTCCTACCTGGTGCTGCTGCAAAGCAGAGATGGTGGAGCCCTGTTGTTAACTGAGGAAAGGACATGATTTGTCAGAATAACTGCATAAAGAGTAAACAGGGATACTGAAGGGAGAAGATGACAGCAATGGACACTGTTCCAGGAGTCAGATAACCCTTTCTGTATGATGTGTTCTTTTGCAATGAGGAAAGCAACTATAATATTTAAGGTAATAGATGATCTACTATGCTTTTAAGGCAACCCATTTGAAGCAACTGTGCCTGCGTAGAGATAAATTATGTCCTTTGTGCCTTTGATTGTGTAATATCTTCACTTGGCACTGCTGCATTCAGGATTTTCAAATTAAAGATAAAGATATGAAATAGGTATCTTAATAGCATTTAGGGTAACCAGTACCAAGATATAAAGAGTGCTGTGTTTTGGACAGACTTGTCACAGTACTTTGCAGTTGATGTACAAAACATTTTTAAGAAGCTATGTGTTGGTGGAAGTCCTTTTATTTGAAGATTAATAGCATAGTATATGCCAGGCTTGCATTTTTGGTATACAAGGCAGGAATTGTTGTTTATGTAACTGCAGAGGACTATCAAGCTATATCGTTCTGTAATTATGACCATACACAGTTCCATCCTACATTGTGTTGAGTAATTACAGGTCAGGAAATGGCAAAGTTAAGTTAGTATGCACAGCTGCAACTGTCATTTTTATGTACACATTGCTGCATAGTGAAAAACAATTAGTTTTTCATGATTCTTTCAACTCTTTCCCTGCAGCTGTGAATATACACACACATCTTACGTTACTTTCCTTTCTTTTTTCCCCTTAGCCATACTTACTCTAATTGTTGTGAAGCTGCAATTATTTTATTAATTTAGGCCCTCATCTCCAGAGGGCTAGGACTGAGTTATGTCATTTCTGTGATTCAAACCAGGTGTACAGCAGTGGATCGGTTCCTTGAGAATTCTGTCCATTGAACCAAATCCTCAGGTGCTGCAGAACTGCCAGTGGTGGCTCCTGTGCTAGCCCTTGTCCAGTTTTGTGGGCTCCAGATTAAGTGGTTCTTATCTCGAGACATCCTCAGGGGGCTGTTGGCAGTTCATGCAAGATGCTCAGATATGATATGACTAGGCTGGAGCCCACCACCCCAAGAGTGGGAGGCTGCAGAAGCATGTTTAAAATTACCTTCACCTCACTTTGAGTTACAGCAAGCATTTTCTGGTGGGTCCAGAAAATCCAGCTTCTTAGACTCTTGTATAAAAATTTTCTTTTCATTGATGCTATGTTGCTGTAGCATCTGTGGGCGTCTGTGCTTGACCAGCAGCTATGTCATCATAACGATGTGCTTCCTGGTATAGGAAGTACTAAATCAGGGTGCAGTAACAATGTTGCCCTAGCGACACATGTACACGCGCCCATTAGGCTGTAATACAAATGATACTAGAAGTCCATCTGTTTGCACTTTTCCCTAAAGTGAGCAGCAGAAACCTTCCTAAGAGTCTTCAGGATACTAATACAGTTAACAACAGCTGTTTGAGCTGGGATTTTTACTATTCTTGCTATGCCAGCATCTTACTGGTTCTGTGTGCCATATAGGAGTTTGCTCATTGTTTTTATCTACTGGAGCCTTTACTTGGTCTGTGCTAATGAGATCCCTGTCATTTCCTTGGCAGTAGATTTTTCTCTGCTCTCTCTCAGACATGAACTGAAGTCCCTGACGATCAAGCTAGAGGAGATATTTATTCAACAACAGATATTTGGAATAGCAAAATGGAATAAAACAAAGATTGCCCTTAAGTATACTTTTTGTATGGATTTTCCCATTTAATATTTGTTTCAGTGTGAAAGATTGTTTTTAAAAACATAGGAAGTTACCAGTATTTGTAAAACTGCCTTTTTCTTGTCTTCAGAGTTTCTGAAAGGTCACTCAAATGGGTCAGGTTGTAAAACTTACTTACAGAAAACCTAAACTTGCAGAAGAATTAATTCATTTACAAACTTTATTACAAAAATACATTTAAAATGAAGAGTTATTGTTGATGAAAACCAGGCACATCTTAGATGATCCAAGCAATTTTGGAATGATGGGTCTCTTGTCTTTTGACTCAAAATATACTGTGCAAATTGTGGATGATATTATCCTTAGGAAAAATTGTATTTGACCATGTCTGTTCCAACAGCTATTAATGACTGGATGCTTTATTAATAGGTCAGTATGTGTGGAAAGGTATACATAGAGTGACCTACAGATGTGGCAGATGTGCTTAAATAGGGCAATCTATTGCTGTTATTTTCCATAATTAAAGGAATTACTGAATGCAAATCACAAGATTTTAAAGGGTAGACATTAAACAGACACTTGTACTGACTTACAGTAATACTGCTAAGTAGAAAGTTCTATGCATCTTTATTCTATAACACATTTCCACCCCTGCTCTATTGTTGTAATAGTGAAGTATTGACCATTATAACCCATTTTTAAACTATAATTTTTAAAAGTCTGTATTTTCCTGTAAAAAAATGAATCTGCTCTAAATAAGGGGATATATTTTAAGTGAGTTGTGTGCATAAAGTCCTAAGGAAGTCAGTTAGTCTTTATGCAAGTGTAAGAGTTGGGGATATTCTATTGTAGGACTGGGGCCTGAGTTTTAGAACTGTAACTTATGGCATCTATAGAATTTGGAATCTCTTATGAAGAATCACTATAGCAAGGAGATTTAAGTGAAATATTTCAAAAGCAGTAAGTAATTTTTATGTCTATTTTCTGACCTTAAAGGAGGTCTTTTTTAGAGGATTAATCCACTGAAGTCTCTACAGCTTCACGATGATATGCTTCCCAATTTAGAAAAATCTCCACTGCCACTTTTATGCTAATCTCATCTGAGCTGGAACTATTATTTTGTAGACTTTCAAAGTGTTCTGTTTTTTGTAAGCTAGGAAAACACTTGTAGTGATTAATGCTAAACAACCAACTTGGCAAATCCTAGTCTAAAGTGGCATATATGCAAGACTCAAACTGATAGTCTGTAGGGAACGATTTAGTTAAAAATGTCTTATTCATTACAGAATAGGTTTTTTTTAAATATATTTTTTCCAGGTTTGTTAATGATGTCCCATTATACACAAATCTCCTGTTCAGTGTTAAGTATCTGGAATTTTTTTATGCAGAAGAGCACTCATATAAAGGAAGTTAAGGACGTCAGTACTCTGGGCTAAGGATCATATTTTCCAAATGAAAGGACGTCCTTTCCCTCCAAACACTGCACTAAGAATTTAACTTTTAGAAATGCCATTCATGGAAAGGAGTCCAAAGTATAATAAAATTATTACACAGTTTTATTCTGAAGAACATTTTGCATTTGCTTTAATACAAAATGATGTAGGTCAAGAAATAATTTACAAATTCTTAAGTTATTATCCTGGCCTTTGAATAAGAATGATTCCAGAGGAGGTCTGTAAGGTATCCATAGGAAATTGACATTATGTACAAAATGTTTATTGACAGGTTTTAAACATCACATTTTAAAAATGTGAACTGAATTGCTACCTATCTTGTGAAGTACAGGTACATCCTGATAAGACAACTTGTCAGCAACAAGTCAATTTTATCCAGTGTTAAGAAAATAAACAGATTTTGAGATTTTTAAATTTTTTTTCCAGGCTGTACTAGTTTCAAAAATTTGTATCAGGGTTTTTACTGCATTGTGAACAATATCTAAGCCCTCTTTTGATTGCATAAAAATAAATCCTTTAAGTAGACCAGCAGAAAGGGTAGAGGCAACAAAGTACTATTTAGCTTCTCAGGAATCTTTTGATTCTGTAGAATCACTTGATTAGATTTTTCATTATGAGAAGTGACACATACAAGGGATTCAATAAGATTTTAATCCAGCTGCAAAGTTATTTCCAAACCAAATGCTATATACTGAGGCAAGCAACTTAGTTAAAATCATCATTTTTGTTAAAATTCATAATTGTCACAAGGTTAATAGTACCTTGGTATGGTCTCACCAATTTTCAAAATCAGTATGATCTATTTTGTGGGGTTATTAAAAGATAAAATCACAGTTTATTGTCAATCAAAAATTTTAAAATAAGTTCATTTTTAACTTTTCATGTATAAGACTGCAAATAGTCAACTGTGCATCCCTTACGTAAAGAGAGATTTGTATCGACTCAAAATATTTTTTTTAAAAAATCTGTGTGTTGTCAAGTTTCCTTTAAAACTTGACATTATATCCAAAAAAGAGATTTACATTGAGAAGGTGGCTCTATTTAAATATTTATCCTATAGAACTATATAATCCAAGTAAAAATACTTATATCTAGAATTCTGTGGAGAATTACAATAATTAGGGTCCATAAATATTGCTGCAGTTCAATTACGGTACAATAATTACAAAATATAGAACATCTCTTTACAAATACAAATTATTGTATATTACAATTCATTTACAATAATTTCTACTATATAATTTTTAAACAAACTATCTTATCTAATTCTACTTTAACCTGGTTGCAAGTGCATTAGTAAGAATGCAATTATTCCAGTATATTTTGCCCTTAACATGATAGTCATAAAACAGACTATCTGAATGATATTTTCCTATGTAAACTGGTGTTACATATGACAGAAAGGTTTTCTGGTTTCTTTTTTTTAATGATCTCTAACAGGTAGAGCATGACACATTGTATCTTAGGATAATGGTAAAAAAACAAACAAAAAAAACCAGGAGGCAAGTTTGAAAACAAAATCAGAATGGATATGCTGTGAATATTTGATATGCTATTGAATGCAGAGGTAATGACGCTTCTGATTGTCATCACCTGTCTCACATGGTCATCTTCTCCACATATTTTTGTGCTGGACTTTTACTAACATTGCTTTGACAAACTTCTGCTTCACTATGAAGGACAGTAGCACAAGATTAAAAGACAGGCAAGATATTACACCTCAAAATCCTTCTCTAGCCCTCTGAAAATGGGATTGTCAGAATCTGGTTTGACATAACCCTATTCCTGCAAAGGAACTGAAGATTCTGTGGAAAAGGACTTGACACATTGAAGCTTTGATCACATTTCAACAACCTAGAGACACTAATAAATAAATTATGGCTTCCTTGAGGTGTGACATCACTTGTACAAAACTAGTTTCATTATTACTTCCAACTAGTGCCTAGCATCTTTGAACTATGAGGCACTTTTTCTGTTATTGAAATCATTTTCTCCTTGCTAAATGCTATAAAGTTGTAATGCATATCATTTCATCAGCTAAGTCCTCTTCATATCTACCAGTGTCCGGTTCTTCATCACTATAACCCGGACCAAAGTCTTGAAGTTCATAATCTTGCCTACTTAAAATGGGAAACATATCCCCATTGGTCCCATTGCTAATGTTTCCATTGAGAAGGTTACTTGCTGCACTTTCCATCTCATCAATAGTCATGTCACAAGCATCAGCGATCTCGTGTTTCGTTGCTGAAACAAATTTAGGGTCCTTTGCATATCGCCCAAGGCCTTCAGATATAAGTACCTGAAACAGAAATGGAGGAGTGTTCAGTTCACATTTTGAATAATAAATCATCAGTAAATAAATAGAAAGCCTCATATTCCTCCCAGATCACTCAAGGGCAAAATCCATGGAACTCTATGCTGTATACCTGCAACAACGAGAGCAACAATGTAAAGAACTTAAGTGTCCAACACTCAAATGGTTCTGGCCGGAGTTTTAACAGTTTTCTAAATGTGTAACTGGTAATGCATGACATTGAAATTCTCCTTGGGAGATTTACAAGTAGCCTTTGATAAACAGCAAACAGAATATAGGTAGAAGCTGGTTTATTTAGACGATAGTAAAATTCTTTGGGTTGTGGTCTGAACAGTGGGCTAAAAAATGAAGGTGGTAATGAAGACACTTTTGGAAATACAAAAGCATTCTATTGGTGATACTGTCAGCAAAGAACTTAAAGATTTAAAGTGTCGTCTAACTCACAGTTATGGAAGGAAAATGACAGCTGGAAGCAAGGACCTGAAAATTGTAAGTGGCAGCAGAACTGATGAAGCAAGAATACTACATTTTTACAGCTGAGAGAATTAAATACTCAGCAGCTGTAGAGACTGCTTTGCCTTCACATCTTTGAAAATTAAATTATTCCTTGTACTCCTGAGAGCATATGCAAAGAAGCTACTGAGATGCCCCTTCAGGAAGCACTTCATTTTCATCAGCTTACTTCACCCGTCATCCCCATTTGCAAGGTCCTTGTGCTTTCAGGTCAGTGCAAGGACTGTGAAAGGCTTAATCCCTCCACAGAGCTGGCCAGAGGGCTCCAGGTACCATTCCTTGCCTTTATGCCATTATAAAAAGGCAGGACATTATGTGATCCTAAGCATTTTGAGTTACCTATGAAACTTTATTTTGAACCACATACTTTAAACTGCTCGCAGTTTAAGTGCTCCCATCTTTTTTATTTTATTACTGATACATCCTTAATATACAACTTCCCAGGTTTTCAGCCTGCTTTCTCCCTGCCACACATTCTAAGACTAGATCCTCAGCTCAGTATTCAGTGGAGCTTTTTGATTTCAAGGGTTTGTTTCCCTTAACACCTGCCTTATCTAAACACCACGTGGAAGTTTTAATCTGAAATCTAGCATTTCCAGTGAAATATATAAAATCCAGTATATGTTGGGTATAATTTAGGATGCGTTTGGTCACGGATACTGCAAAATGAACACAAAACTGAACAGACAAAACACTCATGGCTACTTTTAAGGATTTATGTAGTACTTACTGCTTCTACCAAGCTGTCTGCACTTCTTTGTTTGTCACTATGTTTATGCCTAAAGTCATTAGGTATGGTTAAACTGGCTGGTGTGAATGTTCGATAGGAGATATCGGGATCATCTGTGTACCAGGAGCTCCTATGCAAAGAAGGCAGGCTGCCATTCATGTGTTCTGTAGATTCAGCCCTGTCAACTTGGATGAGCGGGGTGTAATATGGAGTACGGTCCCTGTTGGGAGGGGTGGCTGGTGGGGTGGCCCAGGAACGTGTTGAACGACTTGGTGAATGCTTATGTGCTTTACTGGAATCCAGACCTGCAACAGCCATGACCTGGTAAAAGGAAGAGGTATAATAGTTAGTGGGCCTCAAATAATCCCCAGCAGGTTTATTCCTCATTTAAATCCAATCCAAACATTTAGACAGCTGCTATGAAGAGAGACATCTTTTGTAGTACTCAACAGTGTAGAAGAAAAGGAGGAAGTCAAGTAGCTGCATTTGCAGTCACACCACAGACTGACATCTCCATAAGTCACTTTTAGAATATCTGCCTAATATTTGCTTAATATATTCAACAGGTTAGATAAACCAAATATTGACACCAATTCTATGCTGCTACAACAGGATAAGGAGAGGTTAGCTTGAAGCTTAAAATAGTCGTTAAATGTCTTGCATACTAGCTTCAAGGGGACCTGCCCAGATAGCACCATTTGGATGACTGCAAGAGCTTGTCCAGCTGACAAAACCTCTGGGCTTTCCACCATGCTGTCAGAGCAGTGAGACTCAGGCCACTGAGAGTTCGTCTCATGATACAAAACAAAACTACATCAGTTGACCTGAATTAAGATCTTGTGGTAATATAAAGCTTATTGAAGTTCAATCAGTTAGAGTACAGAATGAAGATTTAACTAATTAAAATTTGGGAAAGTAACACCAGATGCAAGCAGTGCTGGCCAGTTTATGCAAATAGTTTCATAGTTGGTAGGGTCAGAAGGGACCTAGGCAGATCATCAAGTCCGACCCCCTACCATGGGCAGGAAAGAGTACTGGGGTCAAATGACCCTGGCAAGGTGATTGTCTAGCCTCCTTTTGAAGATCCCCAGGGTAGGAGTGAGCACCACTTCCCTTGGAAGTTGGTTCCAGATCCTAGCCACCCTGACAATGAAGTAGCACCTCCTGATATCTAGCCTGAACCTACTCTCAGTCAACTTATGGCCATTATGCCTCATTACTCCCAGTAGTGCTTGGTGGAACAGGGACTCTCCCATAGCCTTCCGGTCCCCCTTGGCCAGTTTCTAGATGGCCACCAAATCCCCTCTCAGCCTTCTCTTGTGGAGGCTGAACAAGTTTAGGTCCCATAGCCTCCGCTCGTAGGGCCTGCCCTGCTGCCCCCTGACTATGCGAGTGGCCCTTCTCTGGACCCTCTTGATGCTGGCCACACCCCTCCTGACGTGCGGCACCCAGAACTGGATGCAGTACTCCAGCTGCAGCCTGACCAATGTCACATACAGGGGGAGCATCACCTCCTTGGACCTGCTTGAGATGCATCTGTGGATGCACGACAAGGTGCGGTTGGCCTTCCTGACTGCATCCCCACACTGCCAACCCATGTTCATCTTGGCATCAATGATGACTCCAAGATCCTTTTCTGCCTCTGCACTGATGAGAAGGGAGCTCCCCAGCCCGTAGGTATGCTGCTGGTTCTTCCTCCCCAGGTGCAGCACCTTGCACTTGTCAGTAGTGAATCCCATCCTGTTCTCATCCGCCCACCCCGTAACCTGTCTATATCTA